CAATTCTCCAAAAGCAGGGGGGGGGGGTGCACGCCTTCATCACGCTCACCATCGGGTCCGCCTCGTCGGCGAGCAGGCCGACGATCGAGTTGACCTTGTTGTGGGTCAGGGTTAGGGTTAGAGTTAGGGTTGGGGTTGGGGTTAGGGTTAGGGTCAGGGTTAGGTTAGGGTCAGGGTCAGGGTTAGGGTTAGGGAGGGTTAGGGTTGACCTTGTTGTGGGTCAGCAGCGAGCAGCCGGGCTCGAGCTGGTCCTTGTCGACGAAGGAGAGGATGTTGACGTAGTACTCGGGGCCGATGGAGGAGGAGATGATGGCGTGGTTGTCGTCCACCTTCGAGGGCGGGGGACGAGTCTCTCACCGAGGCGCGGCCGGGAGGCGCGCAGGGAAGGGCCGCAAAAGGGCAGCGGCGGCGGCGGCGGCGGCGGCAGCAGCAGCAGCAGCAGCAGGGCCGCGCGCACCATCTCCTCGAGCGTCGCCACCCCGAGCGGCGTGCCGCGGATGTCCTCCACCTTTGTCCGCTCCTGCTGCGCCGACTCCTCCTGCGGCTTGACCTGCGGCGACACGAGAGCAACAGTGGCCGTCGCGAAGCGGGGCCGGCAGCGAAAACGGCAAGCGGCGACAAGGGGCCGGCGGCGGAGGCGGTCGCCCGCGGGCGCGTCGGTGCCGATCCGGCTGGCGGCAGTTACTGGCGGCGGGTGGCCGACCGCGCGCCTGCTCCTGCCGCGCGACGAACTCCTCTTCCATCAAGAGGTAATCCTTGACGCGCTCGAGCTTGAGCAGCCTCAGCTTGCACTTGGTCGCCGGCACCACGGTCGGCAACCTGCTGCTCGCTGCCGGACCCGCCTTCTTGCGCTTCTTGCGCCCCACGCGAGTCGGCGCAGGAGCCTCGTACTTCTTGGCCTTCTTGGCCTTCTCCTGCTGCGCGTCGTCGCCGGCGCCCTCGCCGCGGCTCTGCTGCCCGCCCATCGCGCCTGCCGCGAGACGGGTGGCTTGCTTGTGCGCCGAGATGAGCGCGAAGCAGGTAGCGGGCGCGGGGCAAAAACGCACCCGCAGCGAGGGTGCGGCTGGTGAGCGGTGTCTGGCGCCGCCGGGCAGAGCCCAAACGACCTGCTGAAGAAGAAGAATTTTACAAAAAAACTAATACCCACGTCACGGACATCGCCCGCGCCTTCGGCGCCTCGGCGAAAGTCATGGAGGTAAGGCTCGGGGGACCCGGCGCGGGCACACGACCCAGACACCAACCCGTGCCAGCGGCGCCTCCACCGCTTGCGAGCGAGCACCCAAAATTTTTTGCTTCGCATGCGGTGACCTCCCACGCGCTCCCTGGCCGCCCGCGCGACTCCTAGAGGACAGAGAACGTGGACGGACCCTCCCCGCGGCCGCTCGCGAGCGCTCGGTGGTCAATATCACCTCAACCACCCTCAGCGCGCGCGCGAGCGCGCCGCCACTCGGCCGCACGCGCACACACTTGTGCCTGTGCGGTGTGGACGCGCTCTCGACGCGCTCCTCTGACACACAGGCGTCCCACTAGGTGTCAGCTGGTCCTCGACACCGCTGACGTCGCCACTATCGCCATCTGCAAAGGCTCGCCCGCTTCGTCGCTGCGCTGCCTGGCGACGACGGCGCGGGCTCATGGCATCGTCCTCTGCGCTTCTCGGACTCCTGTTGCTCGTTCCCGCCGGCGTCGCACAGCTCGGCATCGTCCGCGCCCGCAGCGAGTACGGCCTGACCGACGCCGACCTCCAAGGGCTGCCCCGCTCAGCGCATCCCGGCGCTGGCGTCGTGTTCTCCGTCTAGGATCTCGCTCGCGTCGCCATCCTCAAGGGGTACCGCAGCGGGTCGTGCGTATCAGCAGGCCCGACATCTCGCGGGCCGAGACGCTCTTCCTTCCTGTCGGCATCATGACCACGGTCGGCGAGGTAAAAGCCATGATGCCGGGACGCGCAGTCCTCCTCGGGCGCCAGCCCGAGCTCTGGCTCCGGCCTGAGGAGCGGCGCGCTGGCGGGCCGAGCAGTGCGCCGCTGCACGGACCGGCACAGCGCATGTGCGAGTTTAGGGCCGACGGCTCCGCACGTGCCGATCACGTGACTGGTGTGGTTTCGTGCGTGACCGCGATCCCCGCGCGTGTGGACGGGGCGAGCTCCGAGCTGCGAGCAGCCCGAGAGACGAGAGTCAGGAGCGCGCTTCGCCGCAAACGCTCGCGCACACGATGCCATTTTGTGTACGTAAGCAGAAAAAAGGAACTCACATCGCCACAGCCAGCCAACGCTCGATCACTCTACCACGTACCGGCAGTGCCGAGCGCCACGTAACCTTGGTAACCGATGAGTTTTTCTTTTTGCTCCACATCGCCTGTCGCGTTGGCGCAGCAGCCGCGGCGGCGAGGGCGAGGCGCCCGCAGCGGTCGCACCACTGCCGGCCAATGGCGCGGTACGGCGCGCACCGTCGAGCAGTCGCGGCTTCTCAGCTGTGCGCGCCTGCGCACCGCGGAGCCGCGCCGCGAGCAGCGGGAGCGTATGAACAAGACGAGCGGGAGGGCACAGAGACACATGTTCGCCGCACCGGTGGATGGTCCAATGATGGACGTCGTGCCTGCGCCGGCGGCTATTGCAGCGGCAGCGGCGATCGCAGCAGCAGGGCAGCTAGCTAGGATCACTGGCGCCTCTCGGCGGCGCCTTGTCCGGCCACGTTGTATGGATTTATGTCGCCGGCGCCGAGGGATTACAAGCCGCGCCCGCCTGAGCGAGCGGCGTCAGCCAGCCACGCAGCGCTCGGCGAATCTGAGTGTATGCCGGCGGCGAGCTCGCGACAGCGCAGCGCCGCACCGTGTGCCCTGCAGAAGGCGTGCGTCGTCGTTTTGCGCGGAGCTAGCTCTGTGGAACTCACGATCAGCGCCGTACGCGGCTTTTCCTGCGACAGGAAGCAGCAGGGGCTGTCATGCCGCCGGCGCGGTCTCGGCACCCACGCCGAACGCGCGGCGGCGAGGGAGGTCTGTGGGTCGCCAGGGCGCGTGTGCGGGCCGATGGTGCGCCAGTGGGCGTGTGGGGTGGGCAGGGTTGCTCAGGGGCGCTCAGGCGCGCGCACAGTGGCGCAGGGCGCGATTTGCTTCGCATGCGGTGACAAAAGTGGGTGCTCGCTCGCAAGCGGAAGAGGCGGGGGCGACGGCGGCGGTTGTCCGATTTCTTTTTGAGAGCGCCTTCGTTGTAAATAGTACAAACCGATAAAATATTGAGAAAAGAAACGAGGCGGGATTTAGGGACATGTGTCCCCGCCCTGCACGATCTTGGTGTGAGGGATCTTCAATCCGTCCCCTCACCCCTGGTCACTACCCGACACTGGAAGTAGGAAGAGCAGCAAGAGTTGGGGCTGCGGCTACGCCTACGGCTGCGGCTGCGGGGCTATGGTCGCGGGAGAGCCGCTGCGCCGCGTGGGCGCGCCTACACCGCGCTTGCTCCGCTCGCCACCTCTCGCAAAGGTCCAAAGCGTCACATAGCCATCACCTCTCCTCTCCGACAAGTCCTCGTTTCGCCTATCTCGCCGTCCCTCCATGCCTGGTAGAGCTCGTCGTCATAGCCATATTGCATCACAGCCTGCTGCACTGCGTCGTGCACAACTGATTTCTTGTAGTTAGGGTTACCAGACCAACGATTTCATTCAAGAGGGGCAAAGGCGGAGGAGTGACTCCGCCCTCATCAGACATCACCTTCTC